GTGATGAGGAAATCAAGCGATGCCTACCTAGAATGGCTGCTTGGTTACTACTTTTGAGGCTGCTGGAGTCCAATGGGGCTCTTAAAAAATGGCACCTCTTTTGACCTGTGGAAAAGCCAAACTAGAGCCCAGTGCTGGAGTGAACCCAGTAATTAACGTTACTTACAGGCCTCCTTTGTAAACCCCTGACCTGATGGCAGGCTAACTTCCCTTCCCATCAGTTTTACAGTGGGAGGGACAGGGTGTTCTGCTCTTCAGCCTTTGTTTTCGCCATTAGAGTTGAAATTTGGTTTGAGACGCCTCTGACCAGTCTTTGCTATCATTTGGAGGTGGTTAGCATCATAATCCACACCATGAATGAAACGGCAAACAGAAGGAGGATGTAGGGTTTTTCTCAGGCAAATCCCTTAAAAGAGGAGGCAACAGGCCCGGAAAGGTTCAGTGACTTTCCTAAGGCCACCCGGCTGCTGAAAGACAGAGCTGGGACTAGTAGTGCACAGGCACGCTGACCCCTGCTGCCACGCTCTTTCTCCTTATTACTCTGTGTCTCTGTCTCCTACGGTTAGATACGGTCTTTTAGGAAGAGCTGAAGAAAAGGAAACTCACCTGTGTTAACAACACTATGTCCCAGGAACTGTGCCAGATGCTTCATCTGCATTGGCTCATTTTATCCTCACAACCCCTTAGCCAGGCAGTGATCACCGTTAAGCTGTTTGTACACAGATAGAGAGGTTAACTTACTGTTCTGTAAGACCACAAAGTTCTTTCTGCTAGGCTCTGTTAAATGCCTCCTTCATCTCACTTACTTCCTCCCTCAGCCTTCCTCACACTTTGAAGCACCCTTTGATAGGCTCCATTGGGAGGTTTTAAATGGCAAGGCTTCCTTGGGTTGAGGGCAATGGGTAGGTCATTTGTTACAGGCAAGTCTGAATACAGAAAATGTTGGTCTGAAAGAGAGTCAAACAAGGCCTTCTGGGAAGTGGGGAGTGTGGTTTTTGAGGGAGTGGACTTCTACTAGGCACTGGTATGGCAGGGGTGGCAGGCTGCTATCAATCCAGGCTCTCCTGCAGGCACAGCCTCTGGAAGGAAAGGAAACAGAGGGTGCATCTCAGGCCTGAGTATCCTTTGTGGTAGTTCTACCCAAGAGACAGGTAACTGATGCCAATTAAGAAAATCTTAAGTGTTTCAGATCACAGTACTTCTTCGTCATTCATGTATTGACATTAAATTCATGCATTAAATCCATGCTCTGTTGTCCTGCAATTGGAAGCGATCTGTTCTCTGTAAAGACCTCTAGGAAAGAATGCCCCAGGTCTCAGCATCTCTCACTAGCCTTTCCCCAGGCATTGGAAGGCTCTTGCTGTAGAAACACATTTAAAACAGGATTACGTCTTTTATTTCATGGATCTTCCTTCTCAAGTGTGTAATCCAGGGCTTTGAATGCAGCAGGTATTTTTGCACTTGATGTAGGGCAGGAAAGGGAAGGAAAATTAGATTTGCCCCTTCCGATTGTTGCAGCTACAGTCTTAGAAATTACAATTTGGTGAGGAACTGGCAATGGATATTAAAGTAATATCACTTCGGGGGAAACTATTATATGAAAATAAAAGCTTCTGTTCATAAGGATATATTTTAAAATCATTTATTAAAATATTGCTTAGAATTTGAAAATTCATCAATAGGTGAATTGTTTGAAAAGTATGGTTTATCCATACAGTGAGATGTTATACGCTTTTAAAAATAACTTGGATCTACATGTAGTAACCTGGAAAGAGGCCCATTATACAGTGTTTAATGAAGAAAGCAAGTTTCTGAGTAATGTATATAACATGATTCCATTTATATACAGCATACACCAACAGCACACACTTTTATATATATATATAACTTAGGTCTTATATATATTTGCATGAGCAAAAAATAGAGAAGAGTACACAGTAAAATGTTAATATTACCTTAAGAGGGTGAAGTTTTAAATGAAAGAAAAATCTAACAAAGTTTAAATTAAAATAAAATCCCCTGAGAAGAAAGGGATCAGAATGGTTACATGGTCCAGAAAGGAAAAGGTGGACTCAATCACAGCTTTGTTCTACCACCTCCACTCATTGTGCATTTTCAGGTCGGGTTGCCCTGACGCACCAGAGATCAGCCCTCTATCCTAAGGCAGATCACAATGTGTTATGCCACAAGTGATATTGGTAAACAGAGTATTTGGAGAGTCAAGGCTATAAAACTTCTCATCTGTGAAAGTTTCCAAGACATACAAGAACTTTGGTATCTTGATAAAAAGAATGTGTCTCCAGCCACACTTGGAATCTACCAGGCTTCTGGTTGAGGCCCTGTAGCCTCCAGGGTCTCCCTGTCCATATCAATAGATACTGCTTGCAGGACCTACCTGACTATAAGCCATTGATTATAGCTATATTTAACCTATGAGAACCAATGCATAAGACCCCCAGTAGTACCTAAATCTATTATAACGCTTAGTATATCACAGTTAGTCATTTAACCAACTCTTCCCAGAAGATAAGGGTCACCAATGCAGAGATAAGTCTCTTCACCTTTTAGTACAGAATACTTAGCACATGCTTGGCCCACAGTCACATAAGGTTAATAGAAAAAAATATGTATTAAGTTATTGCACTGGATAGATTGAATGGCTTCCAGTGGCTTTCAGGGATTCTGGAGAGATTTCCCATAAAAAGGTAAGCCTTCGTGAAAGATTTAAAAAGGAGGAAAGGGGTGGAGTGTACAACCTCCACTCAGTAGAAAAAGCTAATTCTGTTGTGGCAGCACAACAGAATCTTTTGGGTCTTTCTCATCCTTAGAGAAAGGTAGGTAAGAAGAGTGTTCAACTTTTTAGAATAAAACAGCAAGGATTGAGCTATAAATGCAGAAGTATTATACTAAGAAAATGCCTCCCGATATTGTTAAAGCAAATAGTATCATATTCAGCACAAAACCACAGTGAATTGATTTAATCAGACATTATCAGAGCAAGGAAGAAATAACATTCTGGTTCTGGCACAAAAAAAGAAAAATCCCACCTCAAATTGCGTTGCAGGTACTGGTGGCACTCAGCAAGTTGTTCTTTGGAATATTGGGCCTTGGGTTAGGGAGGAATAGGACCACAGAGGCTTTTGTGTAGGAGAACGGCCCAGGTGTGGAGCTGCCTGGAGGTTCAGCCAGGTAGCTGGCTGCTGCAGCCTTGGTGTGGCTCCCATCTGGTGTGGAAGACACTAAGAACACTGCTGGGTTAGCTGCCATGAGGTGGTGATGGATCACGGCTGTGGCCTGATTCTTGAGGAGCCATGGATTCACTGCAGTGTGCCGTGGCCATATGTGAACCCTGGCCATGTGTGAGGTCCCCTGGGAGGAGGAGGAGAAAACCACATAATACATCCCCCCTTTTAGCAGCAACCACCATTGGAACAAGCTAGAGCCTGAGATTTTCCAGGCAGCATGGTCCGCAGGTTAGGAATGCTGCTTCCTGATTCTAGGGGCCTTTAATTTTGGGCAACAGCAAAAGGAAGGGTTGGTTGGCCCCTAGAGATGAAGTATGATACAATCTTCACCTTCTGGGGTTCCAGCAAGGGCTCAGAGTTGGCAAGAGACAGAAAAGCAGAGTCCCAACACAAGGCAGGTGGAAACTCAGAGGGCTTGCTCAACCTTCTGGTTCTGGTGTTTGTGGGGCCTCTACATCATCTATGCCCACAATTAATCTGAGCCTTTCCAGTAATAGGAAACTCACTTCTGCAGCATCTCACAAAGCTGGATAACCTTTCTAATTGTAACCCTCCCCAAGAGTCTCATCTCAACCACCAACACAGCTTTCCTCCAGTCCAGGGCTCTGAAGAACCTCTGAGTTAGAGATAGACCTCTTTACAGTGTGGGGTTCTTGTTTTGGATCTTCTGTAACTTAGAGATCTTCTTCCTCTGTAGGTCTTTTTGTCAACAGATGTTCTTGTCCAGTTGTCCTCCAATCATCACTGTCCCTTAGAATTAGAGACTTAAAGAATCCTGATGCCCAAACCTCACTAAATCATACTCTCTGGGGGTAGAACCAAAGCACTGGTATTTTTAAAGCTCTCCAGATGATTCCACTGTATAGCCAAGGTTGAGAACCACTGTCTTGCTCCCTGAACCTGGTCAACTTCTTGGGGTTTATGCTATGGAATCAAGAATCCTAGATTTGAATCTTGCCTCTACCACTTGGGCAATTTCTTGTGTTTTTGTTTTCTCATCTGTTATATGAGGATAATAGTATCTACCTCAAAGAGCTGTTGAACCAGCTACATGAGAATACATGTAGGTCAAGAATAGTCTCTGGCATATAGTAAGTGTTCTATAAAATTTAGTAAGTGTTATATAAAATTTAACTCATGTGCCTAGGACAGGGCCTAGCGAATGTTGACATAATATTTGTGCACTTGCCATAAGATAGGCATTGTTCTATGCACTTTATTTTTGTTGCGTTGAAGATCTCGTATAAGAAAAATTACGTAAATAAAATGCGTCTTCAGAACCTCTTTACCTGGTAGGGTCTATTGTTTCAAACTACCCGTTTAACTCATACCCTAGTGAACTCTCTGAACCCCTTATCATCCCACGTGTTTTCTTGCCTCCCATGAAAATCTCCTTAAGAGTTCTACAGAAGATGTGTACCCTTAAAAGTATCCAACATGACTAAATTAAGAGCTCATCAATGGTCAATTCAATGTTTTGTTGCCTCTTGTTAAGTCTAGTGCCTATTAATGAGCTAGGCATTTAAGAGATGCCTAGTAAATTGTTTGTGGCATGACTAAACTAATGAACCTGGTAAAAGACTACGCTAATGTATTTTTGCAGAAGAGATGGAGAAAGACTGAATTCACATGAATGGTGGGGATGCTGAGAAAAGGGTTCTACAAAGTACCTACTCTGTGCTGGGAACTTTTCAGCATCATAAAAAGTGAATGTTCAGGTCATCTCTTGGTGCATTACAAATCACCCCAAACTTAGTCTCTTAAAGTGATAATTAGCTTGCTTGTGACTTTGTTCTTAGGTGATTACATAGCAGGAACAGCACCTCTTTGTTCTAAGACAGCTCGCCAGGGGGCTAGAGTATCCACTTTCAAAACAATTCCTTCCTGGACTCCAGCCTTTATGGAACCACCCTAGTGGCATAGGCTCCTCACTCCCAGCCCCAGGCTGGCTCTGGGTTGGATGGGTTGGGATAGAAAACTCTTGCCATGAGAATATAGCTCTTCATCTCAGCCTCTCCACTCCCCATTCCAAAGGGAGAGGTGTCTGTGCTTGGGGAGAAGCCAAGCAAAGCAAAAGATTTCAACAGCGAAAGGAGGAAACACACCCACTGAGGTTCTCATAGCAACATAATCACGCACAGGCAGCAGCCTATTCCGGTGGGAGCTTGTTTCAGCTCCCCTCCTCCCTGGTTAGTCACAGAAGGGATGCACAAGCAGAAGCAGTGCCGGGTGGGGGCAGAGTGTCGGACTGAAAGTCAGGAGGCTGGGGAGCTGGGTCCTCGGCTTGCTGATGGACCATGGACAAATGTCCTCCTCTGTCCAATCTTGGGGTCCTTATTTGTAAAATGAGAGGATTGGACCACAGAGCGGTGAGAATCGTTTCTTTTCTGATTTCCTTTGATTGCACAAACACCGAGACACTTTTGGTAGGGGATTAGATGTCTCTCAGAATCTTTTGTCTCTGAGAAGATGCCTAGAGAAAAAGGAATTCAATAGGGTAAAAGTCATCCTCCAGATTCACATCATTTATTTCCCTACCACTCTCTGCACGTTGGCAGGATGTGAACGGGAGGAACGACTGGGTGTTGTCGAGGACTCTGCGCACTCACCCCCAGCTCTAACCCAGGTCTGTGTTCTGAGAAGGGAAAAGGTTAAGGAGGTTAAGGCCATATTTTTATTCAAGTTCTCACACACACACATGCACACACACACAGTCTCATTAACTCGAGCCTCTTGCTACATTTTCATCCTTCTCATTCTTCATCCTCTCCTCTATCCCTCACTTCTCACCTCTACTTAGTGCAATGTATCCTCTCTTTCCCCGAGGACCAGATGATGGAGGCATATTTCGTACTGAGAAAGATTCTAGCCCTTTTCTTCAATGGACTCTGGGGTTAGTTGAGGACAGTCAGGCTCACACTTCCCAGTTATCAAAGGTGATGATAAAAGCAAATAGGGCATTTGGGAGGGACCTCCCCAAACAAGTACAGAGATGACGTGAAGACAGCCGGGTGCTCAGGCAGCATCTTCTAGGTCTCAGTCCCTGACTTGTAGGCTGAAAGCTTAAAAGTGCAGCTGCTTTAAGGAGTCAGCCTGAGTGTCCTGCTGCAAAGGGAGAGGCAGAGTGGGGTCCCCCGCTTTTGTTCTATCTCCCACTGCCCGACAGATGGCCAGTAAGACAGAGAAAAAGCAGCTCTCAAAGTGAAGACAGGAATGCATTGTATAAAAATTCACACCCCCTGCTGCCGCCTAAACTCCCTTAAAAAAGGATCAAGAGAATCCTGATGGGTGCGTGACATCCTCCCTCTCTCCCATAAAAGGGACTTCAAAATCTGGCGATGGTGGGGGAAGGGTGAAGAGGGAGAAGAGAAATGCGTGGGCAGGGGGCTGCCAGGGAAGACTGGAGTTGGGGGGGCGGCGGGCACTGCAGTCTCGCATTTGACTTTCTCCCACCCTCTTTCCCAAGCCACCCTGGCCGCCACCTTTGCCCCCGCCTCTCAACCTGAAAGGGGCTTGGAGTCCCAAGGGCTTTGGGTACAGAGAATGGGAGAGAAGGATAAAGAATGACACCACACTTACCCCTAGAGTTGAAGGAGTTAAGGACCCTCCCCCATCCAGACACCCACCCTTTCATTCCCCAAACCATAATTCGCCAAGGAAGGATCCAGGAACTGGCAGAGGAGCGGGAGAGCTGGGGTGGGACGGGGTGGGGAGGGTGCGAGTTAACTGTGGCCCGGTCTCGCCCGGAGCTCGCCCTAGGTGGGAGCACGCGCACCGGGTCTGAGAACCTGCAAGAGCCTTGCCCGGCGCCTGCTTTCTCTGGGCCCCCAGCGCGGGCCTGGTCTCCGCGCAAGTTGTGCGCAGCGCCAGGGAGTGGAGGCGGCCAAGACCCTCGGAGACTAGGGGAGGGGGCGGGCCCGGGGGCGCTGGGGGCCCTCGGTCTGCGCCCAGCCGCCGCCTGCTCCACCGAACCTCCTACCCCGCCCCCACTCACCCGGCTCAGCCCCTAGGAGAGACGCGCAGGAAGCGTGTTGCTTCGCCCAGCGGATCGGCAGAAGTTGAGAGGAGTTGGCGGCTGCCTCTGGCCGGCCGGACTTTGCGAGCAGCCTGGAGAGGATCCGCGACCGCCGCCGCCGCCGCGGAGCCTTCAGGGCGGCTTCCCTCGCGCTTAGCCCGCAGCGCGGGTGGAGAGGGGCGGGGAGGGGGGTCGGGGGCACGAGAAGAACTTGAAACTGTGTGAAGGAATCCGGAGCAGATGAGAAAGGAGGAAAATAAAACAAAGTGGAGACTGCAGAACAGACTCCACTGTGGCTGACTGTGCCGGCTGACGCTCCAGCAGAGGGGCTGGGTTGGAATTTTTTCTCCCATTCTCTCGCTCTCTCTTTTAAAGCTACACCAGCTCTCTCTCTTTCTCTACTATCTCTGTATCACCAAATCCTTGCTGGCTCTTATGGGCATGAAACACTCCTCCCGCTGCCTGCTCCTAAGGAGGAAAATGGCGGAGAACGCGGCCGAGAACACCGAGGTAAGGAGGCGAGCGAGCAGGGGCTCTCGGAGACCCCGCCGCCCACCCGGACCACCGCGCCGCCGCCGCCGCCGCTCAGCACCGAGTGCCAAACTTTCCCCAGCTTCATCCCGCTTGCTTCTGCCGGCCTCCGTGTGTGTGTGTGTGTGTGTGTGTGTGCGTGTGTGTGTGCGCGTGTGTGTGTGTGTGTTGGTGGGGGGTGGGGGGGAAGTTCATGTCTCAGGTCCCCTCCCTCTTGAAAATGCAAAACAGTCACTCTCACCCCATCACCCTCTCCTGCCGCCCGCTGCTCCCTTCTCCTGCCCCCAAGTCCCAAACCCTGGGCAGCCGCGCTCCCCTGCCCTCTCCTTTGGGCTCCGTGAGGACTCCCGGGTCCCGGCTTTGTGCAGAGCTGGGGTGGGTAATCCTGGGGCCAGGTCTGCTCCCTGCAGTGTCTTGACCATCTCCTGCCGCTGCCTCAGCTTTACCCTTCAAGCTCGAGTCGGTCCCCGAGCTCTCCGTCCCCGCAGCAGCGCGGAGAGCTCCCGGCCGCGGGGGCCGAGCCGGCGGGAGGGCTTGAGCACCTCCTACAGACCCTCCGGCCCAGATCTGGGCCAGAGAGAAGTCTGCAATCGTCAGATGTCAGAGCCGCCTCTGGGGCGCTTAACCCGGCAGGGCACACGGGCCGCGGCCACCTTCAGCACCAGGGACAGCGTCCGCCCCTGCCGCAGCCGAGCCTGCGCGGACTGTGGGGGCTGCGCGCCGCCGGCTGCAGTGAGAAACGGGTCTGCAGCCGCCCGTCCCGCAAGGGCTTTTGAGGAGGTCGCTGTAGCTCCGCAAATTGCGTTCTTGGCCCCCGCCTTCGGCGGCCTTTTTCTCTACTCTCCAGCTGGCCCTGAGCCGCAGAGAGCCCTGCTGGGCGTTGTGTCCCAAGACTCGAGGCTGTGATCCCTCGCCTCGCCCTGACCCCGCTGTCATTACAACAACCGGACTATTCCGTAGGCTCTGGGCACCTGTAGTCACGAAGGGGATCAGCGTGGGCAGGCCCCTTACCTTCCTGGAGAAACGGTGCGCCGAGGTGGGGGCGGAGTGGGGCATGTGTGTGAAGATCATCCCTTACTCAGTGGCAGGAAAAAGACACAGAGAGCAAACTCCCGGGCTCTATTAATAGCTGGGTGTCTGGTGGGGCTGCGGCACATTTCACATATGGTTACCCATATGCAGCGGGGGGCGGGGACGGGGGTGTGGCGCGGGGATTGTCCCTCTGTCTTGCCGGAATGCAAAAAGGTAGAGAGACCCTTCCTGGTCTTCTTCCCTTGAGGTCTTAACTCTGCTGCTAAAACCCCTGCCCCACCGCGTAGGCAGCAACGCTTTAATCAATCCCCATCCTCGGAGAGACTAGAAGCAGCATGCATCTGGCAACTGTCGATTTCAAAACAAACACGCTCCGGGACTTGAAAGCAGTGGGGCATTCAGTAGCGAGTGCTGTCTCCTTGAGTTAGGGCAAAGCCTGCATGCCTGCCGTCCCCTCACCACTTCCTCCTCCCCAGCCCCCACCTGAGAGCAGACGTTCGGAATGATGTGCAGTGCGAGGCGGCTAGCCTCCCAGAAGAAAGCCATCCTTACCAGTCCCCTCACCCTCCGCGCTCTGATCGCCCACCCGCCGAAAGGGTTTCTAAAAATAGCTCAGGGTTTCAAGGCCGCGCTTCTGTGAAATGTGGAGCGAGCGGGCACGTAGCGGTCTCTGCCAGGTGGCTGGAGCCCTGGAAGCGAGAAGGCGCTCCCTCCCTGCATTTCCACCTCACCCCACGCCCGGCTCATTTTTCTAAAAAAAAAAAGTTTTGGCTGGCCCCTTTGCCTCGTACCCCCGCTGCCGCTTGGGGTCTGGGTGCAGACCCCTGCCAGGTTCCGCAGTGTGCAGCGGCGGCTGCTGCGCTCTCCCAACCTCGGCGAGGGTTAAAGGCGTCCGGAGCAGGCAGAGCGCCGCGCGCCAGGCTATTTTTACTTGCTTCCCCCGCCGCTCCGCGCTCCCCCTTCTCAGCAGTTGCACATGCCAGCTCTGCTCAAGGCATCAATGAAAACAGCAGTAGGGGCGGCCGGGCTCCTGCGAACAACAACAAAACAAACAAACAAAAAACCACGTCGCGTGCGGGCCACCAAGGCAGTGCGGGGAGGGACGCACCCAGCTGGGGCTCCTTGGAGGGGTGTGAGCCAGGTTGGCGGATCAGTTCTTAGCAACTTCCCTGCAGAAGGGGTAGAACCCAGACTTGGTCAAACGTGCCTAGCGGAGGCATCCAGGCAGCGTGACAATCACTTGGTTTCCCTCCAGGAACTGGCTGTTTTTGGAATAAGCCAGGACTAGAGCAGCACTTCCAAAAGTGGGGTGTTGTGGGCTTGCCTGCATTTATGGTGGATGAGAGCGGCAGGAGCACGCCTCCATGTGTGTCAGTGGGTGGTGCGGAGCGTGGTAGTGGTCCTAGTTCTGAATTGCACATCTCTTTATCAAGCGCCGGCTCTGTACCAGGAAAGCTAGGTACCCCTGAGGACCACCTGGTCCCTGCTCTGGGGGGGCTCACACTCTCATGGACAACTATGATGGATAATCCTGTAGCCACCTTTTCCTTTTTGTTGTTTATCTCATTCCATCCTCACAACAATCCTGCGAGATAAGCAAAGATTAGTATTCATTTCTTATCCCCATTTTATAGTTGAGGACACCCAGCCTGAGGTCAAGCAGTAGCTGAAAGTCATCTGGTGGGTTAAGTCAGCCCTGAAACACAGATTGCCCCCACTTCTGATTCATTGCTGTTTGCCCTACCCTTGCTATTTCTAACAAGATGCCATGTGTGAATGGGAGTAGATGAGGAGTGGGCGGAGAGGAATACTTTGGAAGGGAGAGATGCAGTGATGGGGGTGGGCAAGGATGGGAGGAGGTATTCGTTCACAAGGTAAAGATACAGAGAGATACTCCAACCATTGGGCAGGAAGGGAGCAAGTGAAGAATAAAACTACTTACATTGTGACCAGAGCCTCCCTCCACAAAGTGAAGTAGCCAGCTAGGGCATGAGAGCATCAACTTCACATGCTTGCTGGGCACTATTGGCAATGGGTGGCCCGGGAGGCACTCTTCAACCACTCTGACCTCAGTTCCCTTCTCTGTTAACTTGAGCTGATTCACCTCATGGAATAGGGCAGGTATGGGTGTAAGGAAATGCCAGGAGAGCCCCCGGCACATGACAAACATGCAGTAGTGTTAATTGCATGTATGCTTTCTCCTGATCACTCAGCTATGCTTCTCTTCCTCAGCTAAGGGAATCACCATTCTCCTGCCAGCCTCTTCTCCTTCTCCCCTGTTCCTTGGGTGTCATCAGAAACCTCCTCTGTGGCCTTCTGGAATATTTGCAAAGCCTCCAGTCCCACTCTCCTCTTCAGCCCATTGTCAGTGCCCAAGACAGGTCATCTCACCTCTGCCCTCACTAAGGCACTTGCCTCTGAACTGCTGGTCCTCTTCTCAAATCCAGCCTCATAATCCTACCGTACTGGATCAGCTTTTGGAAGCACAAATCTGCTCATGATCAGGCAGCTCTTTAAAAGCTTAGGAAGTTGTCCTATTGCCTACAGGACACTGAATAAAGCCCAGTTTCCTTAGCATGGTGCGCATAGCCCATTAATACCTGCATCATGCAAATCTCGGAAAAGACCTCTGACTGCATACCTGAATGCTTTTGTGCATGCTTTTCCCTCTGCCTGTGCCACTCTTTCCCTCTTCTCTCTGGAAAACAATCTTTTTCAACCTGCAAGACCCAGCTCAAATGTTACCTCCTCTGGGCAGGCTTCCCAGATCTGCCATTTATCTTCTCTCCCCAGGGAGGGTGATTACTCTTTCTTATGTGTTCCTAACGCCTGTCTCTCACTTTTCCTATTGCAAGATAATTGGCTTTTTGTGTGTCTATTTATATGTCTATTAGATAATGCACTTTTTTTTTTTTGAATATCCTGTTCTTAGTACTGGGCCTCACACACAGTAAGTAATAAATGTTAATAAATGTTGACTGAATTGATGTTTGTGATTGTAAACAAACTCTTGAGGCTTCTGGGCTTTAGTCACTCATGGCTTTCTGGAAATTGGGATTCCTATCTCCCACCACCCCACCCGTCTGCTGTACTTGTGTTGCTGTGGACTTTTGAAACTCAAAATGGGTAAATATTCTGGGAATCAAGGTGCTGAAGCCAGTCAAATCACGGGTACATTTTGGTTATTCATGTACCTATTCAATATTCAGTAATGATTGACTCTTACTATGGAGTAGTCATCTGAATAACAGATAAATGGATTAATCACAATTCCTAACTATGAACCATGGGGGGATAATGGACCCTCCTGAGCTACTGCTTGCTTTACTGATTCTTGGTGAAAGTCTGATGCATGATGCATTATTTATGGTGATGACTCCCTGATTAGGGTTTTATCACCTCAAAGGAGAGCCCCCAGGAGTCAGGAAACAGTTTTAGCAAAGAGTCACTTTGGAGACTTTTTTTTTTTTTTAGATGTTCTGTTGACTTGCTGGCCCAGGGAGAGGGAATAATTACAGGTTGGAAAAAATCCTACAATGTGACAGTGAGATTAGGGGTTGCAGTGAGTTGTGGGGATAACTGAGCTGACTTCTGGCATGGTGTATCTTGGTGGTTTTGGCTAATAGATCTTTCTCCTCAGGAAGTTGCTTTCAGCTGAAGAACGTGGTCCCATTATTACAGGGGTCGGGGAATTGAGGAAGAGGAAGAATCAGGCCCAGTTCTTTGAGGATGGTCTTCATCTATGTCTGTTTCTGCAGAGTGTGTACACTAACTAGTAGACTATGGAGACAGACTTCCTGGTTTTCAATCCAGCTCTGGACCTAGTAGATGTGTTGCTACACTGAGGAAGTTGCTTATCGTCTCTGGGCCTTTTAAGATTGCTGTAATGATGAAAAGGGTTAATTCATGCAAAGGAATTAGAACATTGCCTTCTACATGGTGAGTTCTCAATAAGCGTTTATGATTATTATCCTGTTAGCTTTTAGGAGTCTTGCCAAAAAAGTGCAAACTGAAAGTATTCTCCCACTTTCTCATTTCTGTAGCTGAAATGATCCATAAAGCCCCAGTTCATGTCACTTTTTCCTCCCTCTGCAAACACCGATTTCAGTCCTTAAGTGAGCTCAGGAGAATTAAGAAGATAGCCACTTTTTTTTTTTTTTTTTTGCCTGGCGAATTTGGCTTTTCGGAGAGTCCTAAATTGGCTTTTGGCTGTCAAAGACGGTGAAACACAGCACTCCTGCCTCCAATTCAGGAGTGGGTTTCATTTCCTCTTTGCTAACTGCGACGTGAAGTGATTATCACATACCAGTGTGGAACATGCAAAAATCTGTAAAAACAGTCCTTACACCTTGGAGTCTACTCTGCCAGCAGGGGGAAAATGGGCAGCCTGAAAATATGTGAACAGCCAAGGTAATTGAAAGCAGCCTCTGTGTGTGAGAAGCAAGCAGGTGGTGCTGTTGTGAACTGGCTTAGTTACAAGATAGAGTGAGCACAGCCTAGAAGGGACCTCTGAAAGGTCATTCTGTCCATGCCTCTGTCTCTGAGAACCAAACCCAAGATGCATTGTTGGCCACTCGGTCTCTTGTTCAAAAGCTTCAGAGAAGGGAATTTCCCCAAACTCCTCGAGTGTCTCAGTAGTGGGAAGTTCTCCCTGAAGTCTGAGCTCAAACTCTTCAATTGCAATCTGAGTCACCTTCGTTTATGTTATTCTGAAAAGAGATGAAAACTGGCTGGTTACCTTTCCATTTGGGGTTGTCCCACCCTTTTTACTAGTTTTTGTTCCAATTGATTCCAACCCCTTTTTCTGATATTCTGATATTAGACTTCTAATACGAATAGCTAAGAGAGGAGTGTTTGAGATTTGCCTCTCCAGTATTATCCAGCCAAAATAGCCACTGGATATTTCACACATCAAATGTCTTTTCTTACTTCACTTGTTATAAGAATTCCCTCAAGCATCACAGTTTTTCCCATATTTGTAATGAGTGGCCCATAAGTAAAGATCTCTTTTTAAAGTGTAATTTTATATTGAGCAAACAGCTTGATGTGCATGTTTTCATAAAGTCA